CATATTTTAGCAAAAACAAGAACATTTTTATATTGTATATATTGCTTCAGAGATGCAAAATGAGACATTCACTTGGATGATGCAGGACCTGGAGTACAATCCACTTAATGCTATATTTTATCAGTGCAATTTTTTTTCCCCCAAATTAATCTGATGGGCAATTCCAGCACAGAGCAGGAATGCAGGAAATTATCCCACCTCCATCTTATATAATAGAGCAAATCATTACCTACTGTAAGTGAGTTTTAATTTGTCACAGCAGAAGAAGACAATTACAGGTCAATCTGTCAATGGAGTAATTTGAGGAACTAAAACTAGTTGACCTTTCGGGTATGCTCTTCCATGACCAGAATCGCCCTCCTGCTAAGCAGCAGCAGATGGCCAAAGCTGAGTGGTTCTGCTTCCTCGTGAAAACTAATTTGTTTTTTTGGGTTATTAAATATGTAAAGAAAGAAGACACAAGGAAACCCTTACTTAAGAGTCTCAGCACCCAAGCACTTCTGCAAAAGGGGCAAGTAAAGTGTCTGGGCTTCAATGAGGTCACGTGTGGCTGCTCCAAGGTCACCTGCAGCTGCTTGAACTCCAGCTTTAGCCTGGAGCATCAATGCCAAGGCAGCTACAGAAACTGTGCTCTTCCTGGCACACTGCATGCCAGAAATGACACGCCCCAGTGTTGCAGTGCAAGAACAAAAATGATGGACGAGAACATCATGATCAAAAATGTAAAAGCAGGAAAACGTGAAAAGGCAAAAAAGCATGAAGTTGAGATGAAAACCTTACATGAAAAAGAAAAATTCATTTCATAACAATGACCAATAAAAGTTTTTAAAACAAAATCTGAGGTCATGGAAGAAGAACAACAAAATCTTTAAGCCTGGCTAAATAGTCTTCTCTTATATGTAATAAAAATAGAATCAAAATAGGGGATCTGGAAGAAAACCCTGCACTTAAAAGTGTTTCCAGTCAGTTCCCAGAAGCCAAGAAACAACAACAAAAATTTACTTCTGTCTTTATATATTAAAATACAGACTCTGCTGGTCTTAATCTGCTCAAATTTCTTTTATTTGTGAAAAAGGAGTAACACTGGTGCAACAGAGGAAGGTTTTACAGAGGAATACTTATGCTACCCCATAAACTGTATCTTATTTTCCCCTCTAATATTCTTAAGGCATGTGGTCTTCAATATGAGCAAATCACTTTACTAAGCTTATATGTACCTTAGATATGAATCTTCTGTATATATATGTAGTATATTGTATACATAATTTAAATGCATGATAGTATGTACTTGTATCTTAGGTTGCCCAAAAAGTAACCCATGCTAAGAAAAGGACATAACTTTTCTGAAGTCTACAGTTACATAATCTAAACATTTTTCTTCTTTAAGCATGCTGTGTTTTTTTTCACTTTAGATGAAGTTATGTGGCCACTTGGGCAAATAGCATTTTGTTAATATGGTTGTTGAATATATTTTGATGTCAAGCAGAGCAGGTTCACTAAAATGACTTGTTTAACAAGAATTTGTATTCAACAGTGCTCATAAATAAACAGAGCTTAAAAAAAATCCACTCATTAGTGGTGAGTGGGAAGCCACTAATTCCCTATTGTAGGTCCTAAGCCAACAATTCTGGCTAGTTTTGGGCTTTCATTTTTAAAGCTATTAAGATTAATCCTTTTGAAGTAAATAAAGCATTTCAAATTAATGTATGAAAACCAAAAGAGTGAGTTCTTCATTCTGGAAAGTGCTTATGCACAACTCACAGTTTTACCAAGAAATTAGAATTTCTGATCAGTTTTGATGCTACTCACTTGAAGATGTCCAAATAAGAAACTGATTCCTAGTATTCCTTGGACACACACTCCTGATGTGAGCACAATGTAAGATTAGTAAGGAAAGAGGCAAAGAAATTAAGGTCTTGTATTAGAACCGCTTAGCTGATGCATGACCTACAGACTAGCATTAAGTCCCTTGTTTACACTTAGCCATTCATGTAAGAGGCTAATCTGACTATATGCACTTTTGGCAAACTCTTCCCAGGCAGATGAATGGATTTTCCAGAAGGAATTGTTCCCATTCATAATCTCCTGGCATTACTTTCTAGGTCAAAGTCCAAAAAAGTTTCTGCTTGTTGGAATGATGCATCATCTTAAATTAATGTTAAAAATTCTCACTATTGACTTTATAAGGCATTGTGATGCAAATTATGGCTTTGTGGAGTGCTCACAGACTCAGAGCTCACTAATTCCTTTTGTGCATGCCTAAGACTTTATGTAGCGTAGATCAAAAAAGCGTATCTGTATTAAATTAAATTTATAAAGCCGAGGTCCAAGATAAAATTATCAAGCCTAATGTACATTGCATCTGGTCTTGATATTAAAAAACCAGAAATAGGCTACAACATAAACTTAACCCATTATATAATTAGCAAATGAGGCTTTTGGGGAAAAAAATTACTGTCAAGCAGGTGGGAAGTTTGTAAGCATATATATGTGTGAGTATACATATATGTATATGTTTACACATACACAAAGAGATGAAGTACTCAGTCTGAAAATTATGCAAGAATTATGCAGGAAGTTCATGTTACTTTAAGTAAAAACTTTTGCCACACATGTAGGAATTGGAAGAGTCTGTTTCAGGTCTTCACTTTCATAAAATTCAGAAATATTGCAATTGCGCAACATTAAGGCAATACACACAGTCTTTGTTCTCTAACTTAGTTTTCTCTGCACACATGAGACATCTGCTTGGAGGAAAATGGAAAAATGTCACTTTTAATAAATATACAATGCCTGTGGCAAATTAAGATTGTATTTGACAATGTACAAAAGTACATAGGAGGCAAGTTTGTTAATGGTGATTATCTTCCAGATCTTCAGTAGATTTTCAGCACCCATTAAAATAGTCATCTTCAAATAACTTGTCAGGGGAAAAGTAAAGTATGGTTATGTGGAACAAATTCCTTCATACAAAGATTGTTTTTACATGGTTTCCTACCCAGGATGATAGGTCTTTTTAGAAGAAGTAAATGTTTTGGATCATGTTTCCTATTGCCTTTGAAAATATCATTGTATAATTTTCTGACATTATCCTCTTAATTTTCAAACATTGCATGTTCATATTTCTTATTTTCCAAAAAATGCACTAAACTTTGTGGTTTACAACCTGGATCTTGAAAGCAAATGTGCACATGGACTTTAACAGACTATGCAAATACAAATTATGCCATAATCTGGTATCATATTATTGAAATTATTACTTACAGTCAAAAAGAACCAAAAAACACAAAAAACACCAGCACAAAGACTGTTATTGTTGTTCAATAATGTACACCTTGAAAACAAAGTATATGGCATAATGAATCCGTGAGGTCTCATTATGTTACAACACCTGTCCAAGCCACTCCTCCATCGTCCACCAAAACTCTTGATCTGAGCTTTATTAACATTTTGGCTTTATAAAAGAATTTCTTGATTGCATTAAAACAAAATAGCAAGATGAGAAAAATGTTGAAAAATAGTTCTAGTTCCACATCATCTGTGTGTCTGGGCTCAGATCTCTGCAATCCAGCCAGGAGCAGAAAACTACAGAAAGGACAACTTCTGCCCACAGTTTACTTGACTTGCACTGAACTTGCTCCCAAAGCAGCAGAGAACAACTGGGGAAAAGATTTCCATTTGGCACAGAGTCTGAAAATACTTCAGTTTTAAAACCACTCAGAGAATATTCTCACATCAAAATAGAAATCTACGTTCTCAAAATAGGACTTCCTGGACATACCTAAAATAGAAAGAAAATGGACAAGTTTACTACTGCTGATAGATTAATTGTTATAAGAACCCAGCACTGCAACCTGCTGATATAAGTGCTCTTCTAGCATCTCAGTGAGCTTGTATTTTTGATGCCAAAGATCAGGCTCAACCTTTAAAGCAGTCCTTAAGGAAGCCATGCAAGAAAACTGCTCAGGAGAAGCCTTCTACCCCCAAGGGCAGGAATAGGTATAAAGCGTTCCTGGAAAGTTTTTAACTTGTAGAAGGGTGCAATGATGCAGGCACTTTTGTATGCTGCTGGTACTGTCAGACCTACCTTCTGTTTTCCTGAGGTTTCAGCCTCAAGAATACATCCTTCCTGAAAAGAAGTGGATTATTTGTGTCCTTCCCATCCTTTTTCCATCATCAGCATACTCCCGAGTGACTGAGAAATTAGAAGTTTCCTTTAGGTGGTAAATAAACTCCTATTTTGGCTTTCTAATTCCTGTCTTTAAAATTACTGTTTTTTGGAGTCCATACTTCCTTCAAAATGCAGCAATCTGAACGCATACATAAGTAAGCCTACTTCTGGTCAAAAAAATAATTGTAACTACCTTTAAACAATCCAACAATCTGTGCTGACATATACACCCAGAAATAAAAAATACTCTAAATGAGCTCCTTAAAGGCCCAAAGCCACCTCTGATGCTGTAATTTTTTATTACTATTAATTATTTTTATAGTAAACACTACAATATAGAACACCATATAAGATGTATATACCATGCTATAATTATATCTTCTGTTGTATCAAAATATTAATGAGAAGACAAGAGACTATTAGGTGCATTAGAAAAAAAATTGCAAGCTATTTTACAAAAAAAAAAAGTTAATGAGAGCAATGTAGCAAATGCCTCTGCAAAGAGCTGTGGCTGTTGTATCTGTTCTCTGCCCATTATGGGTGAAGAAACACTTGGACCTTCTAAGCAGCTATTTGGCAAGCCTCTATATGTTTCATTTAGATAATGCTTTCCATGACTTTCTGTGCTAAAAGCCATTTCTAAGGAGATGTACAAGGTGGTGTAAGGTCACAGGTTGGACTTGATAATCTCAGAACTCTTTTTCAGCCTAGCTGATTCTGTGCTTCTGCAGGGCTCAAAAAGGTGACTAGCTTTTGCTAGTCCTTAAAAAAAAGCTAGCCCTTGAGGAAAAGCGACATCCTTTTTTTTTTTTCTGTATCAATATAAATATTGATACAGATAAGCCAGTCTAAGAAGTTCTGATTATAAAAAATTACTTTGCTATTTTACACCAAAGAAGAACCCAACACCTCTGTCACACGCTAGCACAGTGAATCACAGTGATGTCCTGGATCAGTCAACATAAAACATCAACCTTCAGCAGGAAGCCAATTGTTGTCTCTTGCCTCCTTCAGGGAAGAGACAAGGCACAGATTATTTCTTTCTTCTTTCTTGATGGTTTCAGATTTTCTTTTTGTTTTGTTTTACCAGTGTTTCTTGCTGTCCATTCATCAATGACACCCTGAGGACACATGCCAAGTGACCAAGACACTGTGAAATGCTGTTCAGGAGCAGCAACACAAAACAACCTCTTGCATAGGGTTTGTTTGGGACAGAGCATTCATGAGATACATGGAAAGAGCAGGAAGGCCTCCTGTTGCCCCTGTTTTGCCAGGGATTAGGGGTTGGGAAATAAGAAAGTGAGGTCAGGGAAGGATGTTCTGTCTTGAGGCGTTTTTGCATGACTTGAACAGATGATTCGTGTAGCATCATATGATAAAGTAGTAGATGGGAACAGGTATGAAAAAATAGGCAAAAGAAGAGTGAATGATAACTAGAAATTTGTCCTAGGTTCTCGCTTGGGATCATCACTTCTCTCCAGCTCCCACACCTCTGCTAGACAGCTTTGGCTTTTCCAGACAGAAACAGAACCTCTGTCTTTTTGTTTGAGGAGCTGGAGTTCAGTGCTTACAGCTGGAAAGCAAGGTGATTGCTGCATGTACAGTGGGACCATAATTTTTAATTCATTATTTGTTGTTCTGGTGCTCCTTTTAAGAGACCATAAGGGAAGATCAATCTAGTGGGACTTTTTTACTTGACAAAGGGTTTTGTTCATGCTCCCTAAAAAGATCAAAAGCCTCTCTACATGAGTGAATGCAACAGGCACTGCTTGAAAGGCATGGAATTTGCAGGTATCCAGTAACAGCAAAAATGTACAGGGTAAGTTCATGTATCTATTCAAAACTTGGGAATAGAGCTCTATGCAACACAAATCAGAGCAGATGCACAGAACCTCAAAGGAGTTAAGTAGGGAGGGAAAGAGAGTAGAGATAAAAGCATTTGTGTGTATTTATATAGATTAAGCCAGGCAAATTGACAACAAGCCAATATACACTTCTGGAAGTGGCTGGAAGCAATTGATTACAGGAAAAGGAAGGGAAGGAAAATCAGAAATACGCAAGTACTTCCAGAATATGTGCATTCATGTAACAAGCTGAAGAGAAGCAAGCAATTTTCCAGAGCCACAAAGAATATCATAAGATATGTGGCATAGCTCTACCTTGACTGGCATGCTATATCAGAAAGTTAAGATAAAAAAAATGAATTTACACATCTTCTTATTCTGGCTAAAATTTCCAGACTGACCCAGGCATATCTCATAGGCCCCTGTCCTTGCAAAACAGCCCCCAATACTGCTATAAACATTCTTCATTCTCATGGCAAGACCACAAAGTCATGACAGCCTTCTGTAATCGAGCTTTTCTCTAAACTTCATACCTCCCTATGGTCTGTTTTCCTTTTAACACCATGGCAGGAAGGACCAAGAACTGATTTCATGTCCATTTCCAGAAACAGAATCGTATTAACCTACGTCAACCATGGCAAGGGTTACACATTTATTTAGTGCATTTATTTCTCAAAACCAACAACTGTATTAAAGAAACAAGAAAAATTCATAATGCTAGAGATGCTTAGTTTATAATACTGAAAAAATTAACAAATTTGCTGGTCAAAATGTGATCTTTGGTCCACTTCTCCCTCTGATGCATTGTCTCAATTTAAAAGCATCTTATTGATTATGCAGGTATTTATACTAGTGTCTTATTACACATAACAAAGATAAACCAATATATTTTTTTCATGTGTGTAGATGCACACATTTTCTTCCATAAAAATCTAGCAGCTGAATTCATTGCTGCAGTGCTAATGGAAACACACTGTTCCTTCCTCTTCCCAGTCTCTTAGTTCTAGCAGGAATCTCTCATTTGACCTTCAGCAAGGCATTTCAATTCTTTGTGCCTGTGTTTTCTCATCTGTAAAATTAAGGCTATAATACCTACCTACTTCACAAGAGGGACAGTGTTAAATTTAATGCATTAATGTCTTAAAGTGTTTTCAGACAAATGGATCAAACCCACTACAGAATGTAAGTTATTATTAAATTATGCTTCACTGAGTTAATGCTGTTGCATTACTGTATCTGATTAAATAAGAAAAAATGTTCAAGCGATGCCTCTTGAATACTTTTTTCCAAGAGGGTGAAATTGATGTTCACAAGCCTAACAGATGGACTCTAAGTCTTCTTTTGGAGAAAGAAAGAAATGAGGAAATCTAGTAGTCAACAGAAGTGAAAGGGGCCTGGGGAGTGGATGTTTATGAGGTTGTTTCAAGCAATTGTGAAGCAGAGCAACTTGTGAAGCAGAAATTGTGCAGCAGAAGGCAACTGTGCCCTGTGACACATCAGTCTCTGGAAGCAATAGGGTCTCTGTTCACCTCTGTGCCAGTGGGACAGGAACACCCCCTCTGCACCATCACGTTAACTGCTGCATTTGGCCTCCACTCAGAGTAATGAAGTACAAGATCTGTAGCCTGGAGTTGCTTTCCTAGTGGATCAGACCACCTCTCAGGCACAGTTCAGATAAGCTTTGGGTCTGCTTGGTCGTGGCAGCCAATCCGTCTGTGATGAACGTGGCACTTAAACACGTCAGTTGTAAAAAGGGGGATTTATTGCAGGAGGGTTGTTCATACCTGATGCCTCTCCTACATCTCCTCTTGACCTGATGCGCAGATGCCTGGTCTTGTCCTGTGATCTCACATCAGGATCTTGTTGTGGGGGGATAAGGGGAAGTAGTGTTTGGAGCAAGAGCTGCAGGAAGATGAGAAGGGTTTTTGACAGCATGTTGAGTTGGATGTTGTACTGGTGTTGATGCCGCTGGTCCCAATGCCATCAAGGCATTTCTTGTGGATGACAAGGAATCTAGGAAAGTAGTGATTAACATGCATATCAGTGTGATTGACAAGCTACGTTGCCTGCTTTGTGCTAATGTATTGCATGGATAATCAGCATATAGATTTAGAGCACAGATTTAAAACAGAAATATTTAGTATCTTTCCCAAATAAACAAATAAAGAAAAAATTGTTTGATGGATCTATCTGCTCAATAGACCACGGAGACCAGATTCTGTCTGGTGACAAAATGTTTTTGCTCTGCAGGGTTCAAATGGATACAAGACAACATTCTTTCAGATTGCACTAAGATCAATTAATTTGCTTTCCCATTCCTCCGTCCCCAGTTTATCGGTCCAAAGACAAGAAAAAAGTAAGTACAACATTAGGTTTGATAACCTCCTGATAGTACTGTGCTATTAAATATACACAAATCAGGGAGCTTGGAAGCATTTAAGCCTTCGAAATCTGCCAAGAAGAATGAAATGGAGGTTGCAAAGTCTAAGGTTGTATATATTTTATGAGCTTTCTAACACCATGCTGCATCCATCAAAGCATCCGTTCTCTTTTTCTTTTTCCTTATCAGATCTGCAGAGGCTAGACTACATGCTTTATTACTATACCAGTCAAAGGTCACACAGTCTTCTAAACAACAATGATGCCGCTTTAATTTATTGAGAAAAATCTTCCTCGACGTGAAAACTTAACACAAAAGCAGTGGTGTCATTTTTGTTTGTTCAAATCCCTGCAGAACTGCTGCTGTGTAAAAAGCGTTCAGTAGCTCCTAGGATTAACTCTGTGTGATAATTCCAGTTTCTGCTGGTATTACACACAAGCATTCCTTCTCAATTTTCTCCTCTTTACCAAGGCACCTATAAGCAATGTCATTGGTTTGTTCTTTAATCTATCTCATGTTTTAGAGAATTGAAATCAAGTGCCTGAAGTTGATTTCATAACAACATCTTTATTTATTTGCTTATTTGGCTGACTAGTAATTTTTAAGTTCCTAGTATTACTCTAACATATGATCATCCAGAATCAGCCTCCTGCTGCCAAAAATTATCTGTGTCCTTTGATTGAAAGATCAGCCACTTCCTTTGGCATTTTTATGCCAAATGTTAACTCTGGATCCCCTTTTAGCAGCAAAGAAGTAACATTTCACAGTCTGTTACGCAGGGAACAGGCTACTTCTGCATGTACTTTCAATCAGATGATTAAGTGTAAGGATCTGAATAACCATATTCCTGAGTGAAAATGTATTGTGGGAACATCCTCAGCTAGGACACCACTACCTGATCGCTCCTGCACCAAAGCAGTTACCTTCTATCTCTCATTTTAGCGATGCCACATCTAATACTTACAACTCTACCTTACAGCAAGGCTGGCTGGAGGAACAATGTGATTTATGTCTGAAAGCCATTTATCCAAAATAAACTACAGTAAAATAAAGTATGCTCAAAGGTGTAATTTCAGACTACTATTGTCATGGGAAGATAAAGTATGTAAGTTTGTATTTCACTTAGGAATAGTGCAGCAATCAATGTTTCCAGTAATGTTTGAAGTGACTAATTCAGCAGGCTGTTGCAAGGAAGTGAGGATGTTTAGGCAGCAAGCTAATTTCCGGATATTATTTTTATGCACAGAATATAATACCTTATTGATTATCATTTGACTAATAACAAGGCTGAGATGAAATGGCACTGTGTGTCAAAGAAAAGGTGTAGAGAAGGAAAGCAGGAAACAGAAAAAGTCAGCATTACAGTGAAAATTAAGGATGTCAAGTCATGAGCAGAGTGAGAATGCAGGGGTTGCTCTCAGAGGTGACAGGAACATGAGAAAGCTCAGAAAGGATGATTGCCCTCTAAGCAGGTAGAAATGTAGGTCCTTACTATGGAGGGGTTTTTTAATGATCTAGAAATAAACTGATTTGAGAGCTTTCTATGTTCCACTATCCTGACACAAAAAAAAATATATATTCCCTATATTTAATGCTTTTGTTCTACACATTGAAAGGTCTGCTCCAGAGATTTAGATCTTCTTCCTAGCTATTTCACAAGGAGAAAGGAGAGGGGAAGTAGGGCTGTTTGTGTGATGCAGCAAGTACATTTCTACTTCTGACATTTCTCTTCCTTTGGCAGCTCCCCCACAGATCACCCTGTGCACGGAGAATATAGAAGCAGCAGGACAGAACAGCACAGCAATCACAAACCTCCTGTGTAGCTAAAGCTGAGATAGTATCTCCAGCACTGAAACTAAGAAACTATTTCAGTGACATCTGGCAGAATTTGACAGATGTTAATATGAGAATCCATGCGTAGTAAAACAGGAAAAAATACACATCTTCAATGACTGAACTGTACAACATTGAAGAACTGAGAAAAAGCATCAGAAGTTAATTGTAAAGCAAAGAAAAAAATTAGTAAGACCCTAATACAGCTATTTTTCAAGAACACTTTGATTTAAATGAATGTGTTAAAGCTCTTTCTTATCCAATGACAATTTCTTGTAATAGTTTGATGAAATCAAGGTAAGAGACTTTGCCTATATAAATGTAAAATAAATAAAAATATATATGAATGTAGCTTTAGGTATGTGTTACAGACAATACATGACAGCTGGTGAAGAAAGGACTGATGGTCCTAAATCATCTCTAATCATCTTTTTGTTTAAATATATGTTCATTTGTCAGTAACAAAGATATATTTAACTCTTTATGTACAAGTGAGGAAAACTGTCAAATTAAGTCACACAAATCAAAGACCTATAGCCAAGTAAGGAAAGTGTTAACTTTGTCTATTGCTAAAGCTGGAACTCTGCATTTGTCTTCATTGAATTGAAACTGTTTGTTCCCGACTGTTTCTCCAATACATTGTGATCATATTCAATTTTAGTTCCATCCCCCAGCTAACACTGAAGAAAAAATATCAACCCAAACTTACAGATCATGTCCCAAACTGCTGTGCAGATGTCAGATAAGAAGGACATGTCGAATTTTTAATTTTAAGTTCCAGAAGAAATTCTCACAGATTGTGGCCCAAATTTCACCTTTTTCTGACTTTCAGAAGGATTTAAAATGTGTTACTTTAAACTACTCAATTCACTTCAATAGCCATGGAAGTCCTTCTGTGAAAGCAACTTGAAGTTGCAGGATACCACCAGGACTGAAGTACCAGACACATTCCACATGGAGTCTTCAATAAAGAAATTAAGCAGCCATTGCTCCCACAGACTGTTTCAGACCGATCATTCACTGGACAGGACACATCTATCAGCCTTCAGGCTCTGGTCACACTGTCAGAATTTCCTTGACATGATTTTGTTTTTCTTTTCTGTCTCTTTTTCACATTCCTGTCTCAGTCTCCAAACACTGCCCATACAGGCTCCTACCAGGCCTGCTCTGTAAAGCCATTGCTAAGTTGTCATCCTGAAATGTTTCAAGGAAGAAGAGCCTCAGAACCCAACTCAGATTCTACCAGATTCTGGTACCACCAGTGCCAGGTACAACTTCTGCGGCCTGTGAGAAAGCCACCAAGGCTATATAGCCAGGTCAGCACTTGCAAAGTGGCACATGCCTGCATTGTGGGCTCCCCTGTAGAGAGGAAGTGAACAGTATACATCTTAAAGAATCAGGATTGTGGGGAATTTGACCCCTGCTTCTCCTCAGGACTGAATGTTGTTTCAGAATATATTATTACTGATACTTCTACTACTAGAAGTAGTACTACTACCACTACTCCTACTACTGCTATTACTGCCAGAAACATTAATTATGTAAAAATTTTCTCTCTTTATATTGAAATGTCATTCTTTCAGACATAAACCAACCGTGACTTCCAGACTGGACACTCTTTCATAATAAACAGGAAAATTATTTTCTTTTTTCTTGCCCTGATTTTTAAATTATACAGATTTTTTCACCTTTTCTTCCTGATGTAACTTACAAATTCTGCCCTAAAAACATTTGGAGACTCATAACTGTGATTTTACCACTGTTGCTAATCTTACATATAGATTGACATTTGAGTCAGGTTTAATATAACAGATGAACCCAACTGCTGACTGGTTCCAGTTATGTTAAGATGTTCAGTGACTTGTAAAAATAGCAAAAAAATTACTTCTCTGGCTGAGGAATTAACACCATACTGAAATACAGACCTCTTCTCATGTCGTTTTCTTTGTTGGGGAGATCTTTTCATCCATCTGTTATTAACAGTTCTCAATACAAAAAAGGAATTTATGGGATGTGGAAAAAGGAACAGGCCATATGGGAGGACTATAGGAAAATTGTCAGAGTAGGCAGGGATGTGACAAGAAAGGCCAAGGCCCACTTGGAATTAAGTCTGGCAGAGGACATCAAGGGCATCAAGAAGGGATTCACAAGTATATCAGAAAAAAAAAAAAGGAAGATTGGGGAAATGTGGGGCTGCTGATTTAGATGGTTGTTCTGTCAATGAAAGACACAGAGAAGGAGGAAACACTAAATGCCTTCTTTGCCTGTTTTCACTGCTGTGGATGGCTCTCAGGAGTCCCAGAACTCTCGGATAAGAGAAGACCAGAGAAAGGAAGACTTCCCCTACATCATAGAGGGTTGGGTTAGAGATGAGCTAGGCAGATTTCACATGCATAAATCCATAAAACCTGAGGGATGCCCCACGAGTGCTGAGGGAGCTGGAGGATGTTGTTACTCTGCTGTTCTCCACCACCTTTGAAAAATCATGGATAATGGTAGAGGTGCCTAATGACTGGAGGAAGGCCAATGTTACTCCCATCTTTAAATAGGGCAGGAAGGAAGACCCATGAAACTGCCAGCAAGTCAGCCTGACCTCCATCCCTGGAAAGGTGATGGAATAGGCCATTCTGGAGGTCATCAGTGAGCATGTAGAAGATAAGGTAATGAGGGGTAATCAGCATGGATTCACTGAGGGGAAATCATCCTTGACAAATCTGATGGCCTATATCATGACACAGCAGGGTGGGTTGATGACTGGGTGTTTACCTAGGCTTCAGCAAGAATTTTGAGATTGTCCCATAAAATCCTCAACGGTAAGCTCAGGAAATGTGGGTTTGATGAATGAACAGTGAGGTGGGTCAAGAACTGATGGAATGGCAAAGCTCAGAGGGTTGTGGTCAGAGGATTAAAATACAGCCGGAGGCCTGTAGTCAGTGGTGTTCCCTAAGTTCATTACTGGGTCCAGTCTTATTCAACTTGTTTATCAACAACCTGGACAAAGGGAAAGAATGCAAGGGATCATCAGCAAGTTTGCTGACAATATGAAACTCGAGGAATGGCTCATACACCTGAGGGCTGTGCTGCCGTTCAGCAGGACCTTGGTAAGCTTAAGAACTGGGCAGAGAGAAACCTAATGAGGTTCAACAAGGGCCAGTGCAGGGTCCTGCTCCTGGGGAGGAAAAATCCCAATCCCAGCACAGGCTGGGGTCTGACCTACTGGAGAGCAGCTCTGCAGAGAAGGACTTGCTGCATGGCAAGTTGACAATGAGCCAGCAGTGCCCTGGTGGCCAGGAGGGCCAGTGGGATCCTGGGGTGCATTGGGGAGAGTGTGGCCAGCAGGTCAAGGGAGGTGATCCTGCTCCTCTACTTGGCCCTAATGAGGCCACATCTGGAACACTATGACCAGTTATGAGCTCCTCAATACAACAAACACAAGGACATACTGGAGAGGGTCCAACAAAGACCACAAAGATGATGAGGGGTCTGGAGCATCTCTGTTGTGAGGAAAGACTGCAGGATCTGGGCCTGTTTAGTCTAGAAGAGAAAAGACTGAATAGGGCATCTCATTAATGCATGCAAATATATCAAAGGGGATGGTGCCAGACTGTTTTCAGAGACAGAATGAGGAGCAATGGCCATAAACTAAATCACAAGAAAGTTTCACCTCAATGTAAGGAAAGGTGGCAGAGCACTGGAACAGGCTGCCCAGGGAGGTCATGGAGTCTCCCTTTTCGGAGATAATCAAAAACCATCTGGACATGTTCCTGTGTGACCTGCTCTGGGCAACCCTGCCTTGGTAGAGGGACTGGACTAGATGATATCCCTAGGACGATGAGGACCCTTCCAACATTAACAATTCTGTGATTCTGTGATTTATCTGCCAAATAACTTGCAAGACCAAGTGCAAGAGTCATGAATAATTCATTTATTTACTTCCTCATGCTTTTGCAAAACATTAATGGTGAAATGCATATTTGCTGATTTGATTAACATCAAACCATTTTAATTTCTACTATTCTTACAGAATTCAAATTATATACTGATGATAAGAATGCAATGGCCCTCCTTGTCTTCATTTCACTATGCACTTTTCTCCCTTGTCTTGCCATCTGGTTAGGTGCTGGGTTTTTTTAAGCTCTACTATTTCACACTACTAAGACTTTTCAAATTTCAAGCTGAAAAGGGAGTTGAGTAACATGCGTAATTTTGACTCTTCAAGATGGTTAAGTAAAATATTCAATCTTTAGCAATTTTAATTATCTTTGAGGTTTCCTATCAAATTGTAAATCTAGTAACCTCATACTTAGTTCTTACACAGAGGTTTTCACCACAGACAATACAGGAAATCATCATTCCACAAGTATTTCAGATATTCCTAAAATTCCTTCAGTGCTTCCCATTCAGGCTCAAGTCAGCTCATCTTGCTAGACATTAACAGACCACAGAATGGATGGGTCTGAAAGGAATACATGCGGAACCATCTCATTCAACCTCCTTGCTCAAAGCACAGTCAGAAAAAACTAAGTTGTCCAGGACTATGCCCGGCTGTGTTTTGAGAATGTCCAAAAGACTATAAAACATCTCTAGACAGTGTTCCAGAGTGCAACCACTCTCACACTACAGTAAAAATAAATAAATCCTTAGATTCAAATAGAATTTTCTGTGTTTCACTTTGTGCCCATTGCCTCTAGTCTTCTCAATGGGCATGAATGAGAAGAGTTTAAATGTTTCTTCTTTACACCCTGCCATCAGACATTTATAAACATTCATAAGCTTCCCCTTGACCCTGTTCTTCTTCAGGCTAAATAATCCCAGCTCTCTCAGTCTTTCTACATACGAGAAATCCTTGCAGACTTGCTCCAGTAAGTCCATATCCCTGTTGCACCAGGGTGCCTGGAACTGGCACACCAGATATGGCCTTCCAAATGCTGAGTAGACAAGAAGGATCACCTCCCTGGACCTGTTAGCAACACTCTTCCTAATGCAGCCGGACGAGGAGGTTGTTGGCTTCCTTTGCTGCAGGGGCACATTGTTGGTTCTTGGTTATCTTGTTTGCCCTGCAGGATCTTTAAGGCCGTCTCTGGAAAGCTGCTTTCCAGCTGGCCAGCCCTAGTGTGTAGTGGTGCCACATGTTACTGCTCCCTATGAGAAGGACTTTGCACTTCCCCTTGTCCCTTCATAGGGTTCACTTCTCCAGCCCATCCAAGTC